TTGTTCAAAATTCTCCCTTCGTTGCATGTTACACTTAAACGATGTTACAAAGATTGAGTAACCTCGCGTAAAAAAAACAAAAACAAAAACAAGCAACCCAGAAAAAAAATTAAAGCTAGTCCTTATTAGAATACAAGTTTTGTATTCAAATATGGTCACTGATAGCTTGTAGGACCCGTGTTATGTCTTTCATTTTAAAACAAACCATACGATATTATATCATATTGTGGTGATAAAGGGTTGAAAGACACACGAGAAATTCTTAAGTGGTATAATTTGCGAGCAACCTACATCATAAATCTAAGGAAAGAAAGGATAAAAGAACTTGAACACGTTAGATGACAAAAAGGAACTTGTCACTTTTGCAGCGTCATTAACTTAAATGAACTTCACGGTCACCGAATTGTTCGTGCATATCTGAGTGGTAAGTAATTAAAAATGTTCTGTTATTTAAACATTTGGTTGCATTTCCGTAGACTTTTTCTGCAAATTACTTGGCCTGATGCTGAACTTAAATTCGAATTGTAGCTTCATCTCTGCAGTCAAGTTTGTATGTCGTTCTCGAATAATGGAATCTTGTTTACTATGAATAAATGAACTGCATCACAAATCATTAAGTCCCCAGTCTAAAATTATACAACAGTGCACAAATGGAATAGACAATTTGACGTTCCTCAGTGTTGATTAAATTTTCCTTAACTTATGGATGAGTGTCTTTAGTTAGGAAATGGATAATGGAAAAACGAGAGGGATACGTTATCAAAATACTCCTAAGAGCTGATTTTAAATTAGCTTTCGCAAGTTTGAAGTCAAAATTTACCAATTTAGCCTAAAGCTAATAATTTATACCGATAAAATTTGATTTTCAAATTAATGATATAAGTATCTTCGCCATTGGTTGGCTAACATCGCAAACAGATTAACTTTAACTTCGAGCCTGAATTTTGTTGAATTCATTGCTTGCGAGGAGCCAAAATAGAAATTATGAAGTTCTTTTTTCATGTTAATTGTTATGCATTAGCCTAAAGCAAACAATCGGTATCGTAATCATAGTTATAATATTTTGATGAAAGAAAGCATTTTTAACTCGGTAACAATCAGGTGATTGAGGATCGCATTTCTTATATTTATCAGCTCTAGAGTTACGTAGAATAAGTTTCATTTGCTTAAATCCCAAAATAGGTTTTGGAAAATTTTTAAATAACTACGGCTGCTTTGTAACAAACCAGACCATAAATTTTAGGATTTAGTTTCCAAATATCACCTTTGATTGCCATCCATAGATGGCCTGTGTATTTGTTTTAACACGATGATGGTCGAATTCTACTTCATTTCTACTTTCCCTCCGGGGTTTTGAGGTTTTGCGGGGCATTGAAAGAGATCAAATGAAAAAAAAAATGTGCCAAATGTGGTGCGGGAACTTGCTTTAATCTATATGTGCAGATGGCTGGAGTAGTCTTTCAGACTATAAGAAAAGAAATTGAGAGCGTTCATGTAAGTTTCGGCAAGGACGGAATCATGTGGGTTACTTTGGATAAATGATTGGAGACAACTCTTCACTTGATTGTTGATAACTGAGTTGAGATAAAGGTGATTTGAAATAAATAACAAGAGAATAACGTTCAAATTGCTTGACCGATTGTACTTCGTTTCTGCTTTGAGAGGTAGAATCCTCAGGACTTAATTATCTTCAAGCCGCACAGATATTCTCAGTCGGTTGTAATTTGCGTCCACGAGGCGCCTTTCCTACAATAGAAACCTCTTAAGGAGGTTCGGGCAATTTCCATTCTCTAAACTGATAAAAAATAAATGTCCTTAATGCATCAATATTTCAAATTCATAATTTTTGGTCACGGAACCATAGTTAAAACAATTTTATCGAGGACTTATCTCGGACTCAAGTTTCAATGCACAAAGGCTATGCATTAAGAAACCAAGCTTTTTGGCAACGATTTGACGTAAAGTGCGGATTTTATTTCTGGAGGGCTTTTCTTAATTATTTCAACACATCACTCTGAAATGTCTGAGGGCACTTGTTTTTGAGAAGAGGTGAATTATATATCTTTTAGGCTCAAAATATTTTGAGAGCTGATAATCAAGTCTCCTTGACGTTGGTGAGTGCGAGGGCTCTAAGGGATAACTGCGTGTTTAGCATCCGTTATTCCTTTTCAGGGTAAGCGACATTCTCTGTTATCATTAATATGAGAAAAAATGTTGTTCTCTATGATAATACAAAGATAATGAAACGGGCTTTCTCCTTGTATTGATATATCAAATATAAAATTCAAAGCGTTTACGAACGTACGGTGCAAAATATCGTTTTCAGGACTTCAAATGAGCCAGCTCTCATCTTTTACCAACGCACCCTAAATTGTTTATCACAGCTTGGCACATGCATGTAGCTGGAAAATGACAAATATTGATAAAACAATCATTTCAAAGGCTTTTCAGTCCTCTTTCAGGGCGCAACTTTAAACTGATAAAGGAATGAGACTACATCCAATTGGGAAAGAAAAAGTCTGTTGTGTTTATGAATAAGATTCCAACCTTATTATATTTGCTTTCTCGAATGGAACTGAATAAAAAAAAATGAAAATAAAAAATTAAAAACAAATTGCATTCAAAGAAATAATTGACAAGATGATTTTTTACCTCTTGAGAACAACTTAGAGAGTCGTGTAAACCGTACTGAAATCATGTGAAGAGTTCGGACGTGTTTAACGTTAAAGATAGAGTCGAAATACTAGAGTTAGAATAGAACGGATATCTTGGTTTTTAGATACCAAAACGTATACAGTGAAAGGCAGTTTTGTTTCCCATAGGACATGCCTTTTAGATCTCTCTGTGTGCACGCCCCGCGTGCTCGAGTCTGGGACATTTCGATTAGCTTGAATTGTGTGGTAATAACTTTCGTTTCGCTCATTGTATTTTAGTTTTTACGAGATTTCAAGTATAATAAATATATTGAGATTGATAGACGCTTGGAGGTTTCATTTGTATAAAACATTTCTCCGACGCGGCGTAGATAGAATCGATTAATGTCCGTTACAGGAAGTGATTTTGCGAATCAGACGAGGAATTCCTTTAAGTAAAAAATATGTTATTCGTCAGCTTAGAGGTCCGCATTGGACTAAAGACCTCGGCCACAGTTTTTCCCAATACGGACCGACCTAGGGTGGTGAATGACATTTTTATTTTTTTCTCTTAAACTTAACTAAATTCTTTCCAAAAGGAATTGAATGATTTGGGGCTTTAATTACAGCAAGATCTTCCATAAACTGAAAAATTTTTGAGCGCGTAAATGGTAGTTAAAATAGAGGTAATGCAAATTAAAGAGAGCTGCTTCACCGAAACGACAGTGTTTTCTTTAACTTACGGAAAGTATTATTCACTCTCATCGACGATTAATGCGCTAAGATTTCCCATTCTTCAGTAAATAAATGGCAAGGAAAGTAAAAGTAAGTAAACTAGATGTTTTGGTTTTTTTTTTTTTATTTTGAGGTTATTTTGTTCACTACGAACAAATTGTTTGAGAGAATTCAGATATTATAAGAATGAAAATTCCATCGATTGATTCGATTGTAACCAAAATACCAAATACCCCACGTTTTTATCTTTTTGTGAAGGATTAAAATTAATTACAGACTGTTTTTAGGCCGCTTGTCAACTAATTTAATGAGGCTTTTGCTTATACAAATTCATTTCCAATATTTTGCTTAGGGTTAGTAGTTTTACTGTTTGGATCTATTTCCACTTTTGAATACTGAACTGTTTTGTAAATAAGTAAAGAAAACGCACACACACACACACACATTCTTAGATTTGTTTCTTTCCCGAAAAATGTGGATTATTAACAGCAATTATGGATTGTTTTTGGTGAATTTTCAGGCAACAAATTTTAATCAAAATTTGCATATACTATGATTGTTATGTCTTAAGTTTTTTTTGAAAGACACCTCTTTTTTTCCCTTTAAAGGTAGACTGTCGTCAGGCAGGAATATAACATCATCGATATTTTCAAATTCAATAAAAGCGAAGAGGTATGTATTGGCTATTCCGAAATTTGAGATTCCTTTTCCTCGCTTCTACCATGGAATTTGTCACAGCTAATGATCAATGCAGGACAGAAGTAAACATACAGGGAATGGCTCTCAAACGCTCTGTCTTTAAAAGATGGTCAGTGGCGACTCCTCACCTTTGCGATGTCAAATGTGGACAAGAGATCGCGTGCCAAAGTTATAACTACAATCGAAAATACCAAATGTGTGAACTAAATAACCGCACCAAGGAGGCGAGACCGGAGAATTTCCTTTCAGCCCCCTCGTGGTTTTACATCAGGCGATTGAACGGCAGAGGTAAGAAGTCAGAAGTCTATATATGTGTCTCGCTGATTTTAGTGTTTCTCTAGTTTTTCTCTATACTTTGCCAACCTCGTTTCCTCTCACCTATAATTGAGAAATAAGAATAGGACGAAAACAAAACTTTTATTTTTACTGCAGCTCCTTTGGGTTCTATTCCTGAGTTACCGGCGATATCCTGTCTCGAAATAAAGGCGAGTGAAGGTAAAAACACCATCAGCGGCAAGTACTGGCTGGATCCAGCAGGAACTGGGAAGGCAATATTGATTAACTGTGATATGGCTAGCGGGGGTAGGTCTTATTTTTTTTACGAGTTAACTTAATTTTATACCACAAATTATATTAATGTTATTTTTATTTTTATCACTAATATTTGTTTGGTTAATATCAGTTCTAGCGTGGATACCCTTTTCACTTCGTTTTACTTTATTCTTTGCCTTTATTCTAATTTCTAGATATGGATGAATGTAAATATAACATCAGTGACTGCGATGTGAATGCAAACTGCACTAATACGTACGTTTCTTACAAATGCACTTGTAAAGCGGGATACACTGGCGATGGACACTCATGTTCAGGTACACTTAATTTCGTCATCCAAGATGACCATGAATGTGTTTCTCCATCAACTGTTTTAGCTCACCGCTATGCGAGGTCTTCTCATGATGCTGAGTTCAGCTACAGATTAAAGCAAATTTATAGTGTTGACGTAGTTGATGAATGCAGGAATACATCAAGGTTATATCAAACACTTGCATCGGAGGCAAAAGGAAACATGTATAACGCTGTGTTATGTAGATATTTTTTTGGAGTGAAGCGATTATAAAAACATTTGTGACATTAATACGAAACAAACCAAAAAAAGTCATCGTCCACATCATTGCCAAGAAATCGCCATCATCATCCACCATCATCCTCGTCACCATCACTTTGATCATCATCATTACGAACACTTTTGTTTACATATATCGATGAATGCAGCGAGAAAATCCATGTTTGTGACGTGAATGCAAAGTGCACTAATACTAATGGCTCTCATAACTGCACTCGTACGGATGGATTATTACTGGAATTTCCAATTCTTTAAAGTTCAAAGAATTGGCTTATCACTGCATAAGAATATACTTCTGCTCCTCGCGCAACTGCAGTTGTAAGGAATGATAGATTGAGGATCGATCAAGTGTTAAGAATAGCTTAAGCATCTGAAGCAACAAATTGTTAATGAAAGTGGAAATTGTGGGTTCCCATTTTTATTTTCATTACATGCACAGTATTTAATTAGTGAAAGATATGACTGCAACAGAAGTACTAGTTAGGTGACAGCTGAGTAATACTTGAGCCCAATTTTTCTTCTGCCCATTTTTTTTCTTTCTATTTAATTTCCTTTTTTACATCACATGTACTTCTAGATGTCGATGAATGCAGCAATGGAGACCATACTTGTGATGAGGATGCAAACTGCACCAACACCAAAGGCTCTCACTTTTGTATCTGTATGGATGGATATACTGGGGCCGGAGAGTCATGCCAAGGTACAACATTAGATCAGCATACGAACTTTAGCGCATTTCCGACTGTTACTTCCCTCCGACAAAGCAAATAGGCCCGCATTTGCACGCCACGTTAGATTAGCTCTAGCATCAAACAGAATCATTTTTCACAAGTAAGCCATGCTTATTCCCGTGTATAGCGCCACCATCTCCAGTTTATATTTTGTAAATCAGAAACCTTTATTCTATTTTTATAATATATTTCGGGCAGTTACACTTCTAAGAAGCTTAGAGTCTTTGAGCGCATTTTAGCGGTAAAATGGTTTCTCACGAAGTTTCGACCTAACTTCGGTCATTTTCAATTGGTTAATAGGAATGTCACTATGAATATTTGGTAACATCGACACTATTGTATTGACCCTTTCACTCCCAAAATCACATGAGTATTTCTCCTTACTGTCTGCCATAGAATTTTTATGATGCTAGCTCTGTGAATTTGGTAGTGAATCAACTAATACTCCCCTAAAGTATATTTTTCTTTATTCTCATCACTTGTCTGTTTGATATTGTATTGATTTGGTAAGGAGAAATTCTGTCTTGTCACTCATGGGAGTGAAGGAGTTAAATAAACTTCAGAAGTAAAAAATCTCAACTGGAAAAGGGGGAACTGATGGATTTAGGCTTACAAGACAGAACAACAGATTTGAACTTGGGGGAACCGAGGAAAAACATTTGGTGAGTGGTAATGCGAAGCACTTTCGTCTAGAACCACAACACAAAAAGACTAAGGTTTCTAAGCTTATGCTCGGCAACTTTTTTTCCAATTATTGATTGTTATTATTATTTTTATGATTTTACAGATATTGACGAGTGTAAAGGAAATCACTCTTGTCACGTGAATGCTACATGCACGAACATCAAAGGATCTTATGTTTGTACTTGTAACCCCGGATATATTGGAAATGGAAGCGACTGCACAGGTACTTGATGCGTTTCTTTTGTAACCATTCATATTAGAAAGAAAAGCATTATCATCTTTGCAACACTTGTTTTACCAGCATACATTGTATAAAAAAGAAATGAGTAAAGTGCTGAAGACAATGGTGACATCGACACCAATTTATTGGCCCTTCACTCCCAAAATCTTATAAGTAATTCTCTCTACTCTCTGCCATATAATTTTTATGATTCTAGCTCTGTGTATTTGGTAGTGAATCATCTAATACTCTCCTACAGGATATTTTTCTTTATTCCCGTCACTTGTCTGTTTGATATTGTATTGATTTGATAAGGAGAAATCTGTCTCGGTCACTCATGGGAGTTACGGAGTTAAATAAATATTCAGTGGTAAAAATCTCAACTGACAAATGGAGACTTGATGGATTTAGGCTTACAAGACAGAACAACAGATTTGAACTTGGGGGAACCGAGAAAACGAATCTTGTGAGTGGTAATGGGAAGTGCTTGCGTCTACAAACACAAGACAGAAAGAATCAGGTATCTAAGCTTATGCTCGGCAACTTTTTGATTTATTTATGATTTTACAGATATTGACGAGTGTAAAGGAAATCACTCTTGTCACTTAAATGCTACCTGCACGAACAACCTTGGATCACATGTATGTGAATGTCACCCTGGATATATTGGAAATGGACGAAACTGCACAGGTGAATTTAATTTCCTCGCTACATGTATTCTGTGCTTAGAGTAGTCCTGCATGACACGTTCGACTACAGCACCGCACCATTCAGCCGCGTTGCAAGAAAATTAGATAATTTATCACCCATAACTCGTTTTAATTAAAGGTTACTTCCCACCTTCAGAGGCCGAAAAAATCGATTTTTCTTTTATTTAGAAAAGTGTGTTTCAAATAAAAGTTAATGAATAAGGAAGTTGTCATAATCTCAGACCTGAGCGAATCCTCTGGGGGAACTTTCGCGGCAACCGCTCATGTTGAGGCTCGATTTTCATGTTATTTCCATATTTTGTTTACATCGCGCACTTTACAAAATTCACATGTGAAACCTTTTTGCTTAAGGAAAAATCTTTGCGCGTGGAAAGTCATAAGCGGAAGAAAGTCGTTAGTGAAAAAAATTTAAAAAATTAAAAAATAAAACAGGCTTAAAGAAGAAAGAAGAGTACCAATCTGTCAAGAAAAGAAAAAAACTTCCTTTGTGAAAGCGACTGGTACTGGCGGAGCTCCACGCTGGCGTCCAGATTTTGAATAAAGAAGTCGTCGTCAAACCGAAATTTACTATACACAATGTTAAAAATGAGGTTTCCCTTTCTTTATGCAAGCACCATCCTTGATGCAACAACATTTGTATACAAAACATTTGCCTCGAATCTCAATTTTGAAAGCTGTATGTCGATTCTTTGTCTTGCTCCTTAGCACATTTTGCAGTTTTTCCATTTTTGTCGCGGGTTTTTTCTTTGCCTTTGGCAACTTTGCTCATCAATTTTTCGTCCTCCTTAACGCTCCACTTAGCGATCGAGATAAAAAAAACGTGTCTGCAATGGGTTTCTTTTCCCGGGAAATCTTGGTGCATAGTCAGTGACGCTAAGAAGTCCCGTTGTCCTACTGGTCTGCGGTTCTAGGGGGCGAAATAATCTCCTGGCGTGGGGCAAGTTGTTTGCGAACCCTTATGAGCTAAAATCTCACACTCGAGTTTGGGAGGAATACAACCACTTTGAGCGAATTTATAGGGTATGTAGATTAAACCGATTTTTGTCAAATTTCGCCAAAACATCCTAGGAATAATGACAAACGAAAGTGTGTCGGGAAATTTTGATATTTGAAATATTTGTCCCGTGGCGCCCATTTACGCAACACGACTCGCATATTTTTAGCTACTCCAACTTAAGATTCCGATATTCAGACAATCAATCAGAATGTCAAAGAAACCTGAGACACTTTTGTCGATTGATGACTTGCGAATGAGACTGTGTTGCCAATCAGCTCGTGCCGCGGCATCCCATACCCGATAAATTCAATAGAAGAACCTTAAATCGTTTCACACCTTACCGGCTCCTGACAATTCCTAAAAAGAAAAGTCGCTTAAATTCTATTTTCATCATAAACTACATTTACATAGTTTGCTGGGATTTTAGTGAAACTAGCGCGCGAACGAATTTTTCGCGAAGGACACCTGCGAAGGTGGGAAGTAACCTTAATGCTAAGGATCTCTTAGGTAATGTTACTGACTTTTAAATGAACAATTTTGGTGACTGATGCATTGTTATTCTGTTTTAAATTTCACTTTTTAACGATGCTTGAAAAAAAGCATGAATATAAAATCGCTCGTTTGGCTCTGAACCCTGTGCACAGGATGGATATGTAAGGATTCTCCATGGCGCTACGTTTTCGTCGATGCTCAAGATATATTTGAGTGAAGAAGTTAAAAATTGTTATCATCAGGTTTTAATAATCAAGATACTACGAGTGCCCTGATTGGTCAAAAAGCAATCGTTGATTACACTCGTAAATCCATGGAAAATTGAATTTTATGTTATTATGGTAACAGACAGCACTTTCTATCGGTTTAGCAGCGTAGTAAACGTTTCCAGATGTTGGGAAACAATTCGGAAAAAAAAGAAAATCAATCACCTCCAGCTCGGAATTACAAATTTTTCAGGTGTTTTCACAATAACTCATGTGGGTTATCTCGCCAGTAAACTGATAGAAAAAGCGATGAATAAAGGGGGTTAGGTTTTAAAGAAACTGTGGTGCTGCGTCGGTGGGAGAGTATAACAGAGTAATTCAGTATAATAAACAAAGTTAATAGCGTAAATTGGCCACCGTAAATAGTTTTAAAGCTAACGCTCGAAACGTCAACTTCGTAATTCTTTACGGTGGCCAATTTACATTATCAACTCAGTTGATGAAACCAAATTATTTCACTAATCAGTTTCACGAGAACTGCTTAAATATAATAAAAGAAATTAAAAAAAGGGAAACCCAGTTGAGGTACCAACAACTCAGGCTTTGATGGGCGATCAAAGCAAGCGGAAACAACTCTTTACAATAAAAGCTAAGTTTTTTTCGTTTGTCTCACGATGTAGTCTCGTGTGATGTAGATCGCGACGTTTCGACTGCATACTGCTGAGGTCAACTGGTCATGCGTGATCCTATAAGACATGATGCTCTGCTGTAATTAGTTTTTTTTCAACAGCTCTGATTGGTGCATTTCGATCCCTGCTGTTTCACTCAGTGATTTGCTCCCTCGGCGGTCCACTGTCGCAACGCTCTCCTGTTGTTGTGTTTTTTGATCGTGGGCATCCACGCTTCTGGAATTTCTATTCCCCTATCCCTGTTGATGTTGTTAAGGTGAAGTCCTATATGAATTGCCTCTTTGACTCTGCGCGTGACCTTTATTTCTACACTCTTCGAGTCATAATATCCTCCGCACGTACTACTTGACCCTTGCCTATTCATTTTTCTTGTTAAGTAAAAGTTCATAACTGATTGACAAGCTGCCAGAATTAAATGACGTTAGAAAAGATCTTGAACCATTGATGTTAATAACTTAAGTCCTGTTGCAATTTTTATTTCACTTTGTAGTCGATCCTTGCTATCAATATAAAAACTTGAGTGATGCTAATAGAAAGCTGAGTTACATAACACCTATCGATTCATCGTTGTGTGACAGCTCATTCTCTGAGGGATGGTATCGTTTTGTGGGAGCTGCAGGAATAAAAATGCCAACAACGCGTGTGCCAGCATACAGATGTGGTACAGACTTCCCAGGCTGGTTGGATGGTGCTCATCCTACAGTGGAGGATGGTGAAGTTCTTCGGACGGTCTGCTTTAGTGATCGATCTACTGGTTGCAAATTCTCAACAGATATTTCTGTAAAAATCTGTGGATCCTACTTCATCTACAAACTTCGCCCACCTATTAAATGTAGCTCAGGCTACTGTGGTACAGACTAAATATGAAGAAAAAAGATATATACTTCGCGTAGTAAGAGGATTCATAAATCGAACCGTAGGTACATGTGTATAAGGTTTTTAAAATGTGATATAGTTAACGTTAGGTATCATCTCTACAGTAAACATTATCAGCAGACTTTATCCTTGGTGGCAAACAGGTATTCATTTCATTACAATGATAATTCTCATCAAATAGCCTCTGTCATCGAAGAGAGTTGCCCGAAGGATCTTCAAAGTAATCTTTATATAAAATCTGTAAGACACAAACTCTCAAGCTTATGGTTTTCGCGCTTTTATTTATACATACCTTTTTTTCCTTTTTTTTTTCCATCCTTCTTTGCTGTAATTATTAACCATGGCTATTTTTGTGTAAGTCAATGGAACACAAGCAGGCGCTACCTTACGTTACAGGCGCAGGAATAAAAACCCACCCCTCACCCTCACCCCCAAAGATATGGGCTGGGTTACTATGTGGCTCAGCTTCTTGAGTGGTGTAAACGGAAGGGCATCGTGTATGTTATCTCATTATTTAACAAAAACTGTGTACCTCTTTGTAGATACATTTACCTTGCCCGAACGATTTTCAGCTGGCTCTCATAACACAAACACAAGAGCAAATGTTAAGGACAGTGTAGTCCATGGGCCAGAGTAGGTTCTCGTTATCACTCATCTGATAAAAGGTTATGTAAAAGACTTCAAGCAAATTCGCTTGATAGCAATCGTGAAAGAGTAGCTTTCAACATTTTTTCGGTGGACTTAATATCAATGATCGGGGAAAAATAACAACAACAACAAAGAAATGTTCGGGCAAATACATGAAACCAGAACCCATTGAAGTAAAAACAGATCAATCAATCAAGACAGGTTTTAAGTTTAAATCACAACGATTCAGTAACAAATGGAGGAGGTTATTTAAAAGGATCGTAACGTAAGGAACAGAAAAACGAGAATAAGGTAAAAGTTTTTAACAATTAACTAAATTAACTTAATTTGTTTTATAATTAACTTAATATTGAACATCTCTCTTGATTAAATAACAAGTAATTTT